CTGGTTGGTCCTAAATTAGAAGTGGGATCAAAACTAGGGAAGCTGTCAGTTACTAAACAAATTCTGGTGATTTCGGCTTATTTGTTGTTTGGCTTCCTGGATTACTGCTAGAGGGAGTCTTCTGACTTCCTGTCTTGGGCTGGTGGCTGCAGATTTCGGCTCAGAGATCTATTCTTGTGTGTGGTCTGGATGCTGCCTGTGTGTGACATATAGTTTCTCCCTGGATCTCTTGATAATCAGAGGACGGACCTTCAATGTTGGTGGGAAGTGAGCCTTTAGGGGATTGTGGGACCCCTGTCTCTTCCTTTTTTTTTTTTTTTTTCCTGTTCTGGCTCTGAGGGGAGAACGTGGCTCTACCATGCACCCTAGACTACAGGCCTAAATGCAATTGGACCAACTGATTGTGGACTGAAATCTCCAAAAACTGTGAGCCAAAATAAAGCTTTTCTCTTGGTAACTTTTCTCCTGTGGATGACTCAGGAAGCTGAAAATCTTGCAAGATCAGGAAGCCAACAGGAACCTAGAGTGGTAAGCCCCCACAGCATCTCCTGGTCCAAGGACTTAGCCTGAAGGTATGCTATGCCTCTGACCTCTTCCTTGCATAGGAGGGATGCAGATTAAAACCCATCAAGATGTGGGAGGAAGGCACCTCAGCTTATCACACAGCCATGCCAGCTTTCTTTAGTAACATGTCTCATTACTGGTGATATTAACCTTGATTAACTTTTGTTGGTGTCTCTGTCTCCACTGCTGAGAAAGAGACAAGCAACCCTGACATGTGAGCCAAGCCTTGGGGGTTCCTTTGAACATACATCTGGATCTCAGAGGGGATGTCTTCACCATCATGTCAGAAAACTATGATCCAAATCACAAAATGGCTGATAGCCCCCTCTCCTGGCTTATGTGAGTCATTACCGCTCTACCAATCACAGCTCTAGCCTCCTGCTGTGGACCTAAAATTGTTAGATATCCATAGAGTTACTCTCTCTGCCTGGGTGGTGGCACATTACTGTAATTCCAGCTACTTGGGAGACTGAGGCAGGAGAGTCTCAAGTTCGAGTTCAGTCTGGGCAACTCTGTGAGACTCTGTCCTATAAAGGACTGGGAGTGGGCTGAGATTGTGGCTCAGTGGCAGAGTGCTTCCTTTGCAAGTATGAGGCACTGGGTTTGATCCTCAGCACCACATGAAAATAAATAAATAAAATAAAGGTACATCTACAACAAATATATATATATATATATATATATATATATATATAAAAGGACAACTAAATATGTATATATATAAAAAGACTGGGAGTGTAGCTCAGTGGTAGAATATCCTTGGGTTCAACCCTCAGTACCAGGAGTTTGCAGGGTAGAGGATTTTTTTTTCCCTCTTGCTGACTGACAGATTCCCAATCTAGAGCAAAGTTCTGTTTTCTTAAATCCTCTCCCAAGCCAAGGCCACATCTTATGAAGCCTTTCTAATTTCCCTTCCCGAGGCACCCTGTGCTTCTCTAGGGTGTCTTCTCCCTCTCTACTGCTATACATTATCAACCCAACTTCTTCAGCCACAAGTGTGTTCTGGCTGCCCTCTCCTGGAGGTCCTGGACAAAGCTGGGATGGATGATGACAAAACCAGGCCTGGATGTAAAATAAACTATAAGAACACTGTGCCAGGGGAAAGGACAAATTTCCCTCCCCTTTCAACCCTTCTTTAGGAAACTAATTAACAGCACAGACCCCTACATTTTGGATTGTAAATAACTACTTCTGGGAAACTAAGTACTCCCCTTTGAAGTGTAAAGGCCCCTGTTGAAACTTTGGGATCAAGACTAGAGATTATTAAAGGCCATGTGAGAGGAGCCAGTTTTTACCATTATTGCACCAATATCTAACAAAATGAAATTAAACATCTCTCACCATGCACAAAATTCAACTCAAAGTGGATCAAGGACCTAGGAATTAAACCAGATACTTTGCACCTAATGGAAGAAAACAGTAGGCCCAAATCTCCATCATGTAGGATTAGACCCCAACTTCCTTAATAAGGCTCCTATAGCACAAGAATTAAAAAAAAAGCATTAATAAATGAGATGGATTCAATCCAAAAGGCTTCTTCTCAGCAAAAGAAACAATCAGTGAGGTGAACAGAGAGCCTACAGAATGAAAGCAAATCTTTAAAATAAGCACATCAGATAGAGCACTAATCTGTAGGATATATAAAGCCCTCAAAAACCTTAATACCAAAAAATCAAATAACCCAATCAATAAATAGGCCAAGGAACTGAACAGACACTTCTCAGAAGAGGATATATAAGCAATCAACAATATATGAAAAAATGTTCAACATATCTAGCAATTAGAGAAATACAAATCAAAACTACTCTAAGACTTTATCTCACTGCAGTCAGAATGGCAGCTATCAAGAATACAAACAACAATAAGTGTTGGCAAAGATGTGGGGGGAAAGGCACACTCTTACATTGCTGGTGGGACTGCAAATTGGTGCAGCCAATCTGGAAAGCAGTATGGAGATTCCTTGGAAAACTTGGAATGGAACAACCATTTGACCCAGCTATCCCACTCCTCGGTCTATACCCAAAGGACTTAAAATCAGCATACTACAGGGACACAGCCACATCAATGTTTATAGCAGCTCAATTCACAATAACTAAACTGTGGAACCAATGCAGATGCCCTTTGATAGATGAATGGATGAAGACATAGTGGTGTATATACACAATGGAATATTACTCAGCATCAAAAGAGAATAAAATTATGGCAATTGCAGGTAAATGGATAGAGTTGGAGAATATCATGCTAAGCAAAGTAAGCCAATCCTGAAAAACCAAAGGCCAAATGTTCTCTCTGATAAGTGGATGCTGATCCATAATGGGGGTTGGAGGGGTGAGAGTGGAGGTACTTTGATTGGGAAAAGGGGGAGGAAGAGAAGGGAAGAAGAGATGCAGGTAGGAAAGATGGTGGAATGGGATGGACATCATTACCCTAGGTACATGTATGACTGCACATGTGGTGCTACTCTATATCATGTACAACAGGAAAAACATAAAGTTGTGTTCCACTTGTGTAGAATGATTCAAAAAGCTTTCTACTGTCATGTGTAACTGAGTAGAATTAATAAAAAATCAACTAAAAAAACCACTCTCTTCTTTATAAATTATCCTGTGGTAATTTATAAAGTCTGTGGTCTTCCACTGTAGCAATAAAAAACAGAGAAAGACAGGGCTCCTGAGAGAAGCAGAGATTAGGAGCTCAGGGTTGAGCACCAGAGCCAGACACACTATCTCCCATGGAGAGCTTGCTTCCCTCCAGACCCACGGAGAGAACAAACCAAGGCAATTCCTCCTGATGGCTGTTGGAAAGCAGGTCACTGGGAGGAACTACTGCTGGTACACTATCCTCTGGGTAACAGGTTCTTTATCTCCCATCTTGTTCCTTTCATTCCTTTATTATTAATAATCATATCTTACTTTTCAAATCCCAAACCTAGCTCAGAATGTTATTCCAACAGAAGCTGCCATGAAGCTGCAGTATGAAGAAATGCATGACCTGATTCACTAGAGTAGTTGAGTAGGATCCAGGCTGTCCTGCCCAGGCTTCAGGTACTACCCAGGGGGACCCAGGTAAGGAGGACCTAGCCCCAGCAAGGAAGGGTATGTTTAGAAAAAAAATTACTTGCTGCCCCTAGGTTTCAACTCTGGATGGACCAGCTCTATATGCCAGGGCAGTGCCATGCCACTGGACACTAGAGTACACACTATATGCTGCCTATAACCACAGGATGCACAGGACAGAGAAGAGAGCATTAGCACTCCTATGACTTTCCTAAGTTAGCAGGTAAAGCAGACAGCCTGATATTTCAGAAAAAATAGTAAAGCAACATTTCCTGTATACATCTGCTTTAAAATTATAGCTTAAAAGCTATGCTTCAAGAGTAAGTAAATAAACAAGATTAGGACTTATTTATAAGAAAAAAATTAGAAGTCCCACTCTCATAAATAAGTCTGGGTCATGTAGGTCCTAATCTTATAAATAAGTCTATATTACAGCAAGAACATTTCATTATACAAATCACAAAAGTACATTATGTTTACAAGGTATGCATGTGGAAAGGAGTCTCTGATCTTCAGTTTCACTCTCCTCAGCCCAGATGTAATGAGCCCTTCCCCTGGTAATTGGTGATGGCTTGATTGGGAACCTGCATTCACATTCTTGCCTTCAGTGTGGTTTAGATTAATAGTATCCAATACATTTCATAATTTATGTATAATCTATATATAATGGCTGATACTATCTTGATGAAATCTTTCTTTCTAAAAAAATCATCTTGTTTGGTGTTGGGGATAAAATCTAGGACTGCATACCTGGTAGGCAAATGCTCTACCCCCAAGATGAACTCCCAACTCATTAAAAAAACATCAGTTTTATGGTTGGGGCTGGGGCTCAGTGGTAAGGCACTCACCTGGCACACAGGAGGCATTAGCTAGGAAGTCAGTAAAATGTTAAAAAGGAGTAGTAGGAGAGAATACCCTTGATTGTTCCTGATCTTAGTGGGAAAGTTTCAAGTTTATTATCTTTAAGAATGAGGTAGGGGTGATATGGCAGCTAGCGCCCAGGTAGCAGGGGTAGCCAGCTGTGGCAAGTTGCTAACACTCGGCTAGAAGTCACCCAAGCCCGAGGGTGGAAAGTGGTGAGAAGGAGCCCAGGCACTGCGGGGGTGACTGTGCCACTGGTGGCAAGTCCCTGGTGCAAGCCCAGGCCAGGCCTCTGCATTTCTAGGCAGATAGCAATGGTTGGCACGAGCCCCGCCCTTCGTGGAATTCTGAGTGTTTGGGTCATAATTGACCCCCCAGCATTCCAGGAGTTTCAGAGCAGAGGTGGATAGAGACGGAGGTGGTTTTCAGAGGTGGATAGAGACAGAGGTGGTTTTCAGAGGTGGATAGAGACAGAGGTGGTTTTCAGAGTGGGTCTGATGGCTCACTGAAATTGGGGAGATGTCATCCTGGTTTAGAGGCCTAGGCTCCAGCTTGGGCCACTCCTTGGGTCAGGTGGGGGACAGCTTGTCTTCCCTCACTGGCCATACGTCCAATGTCACCAAGGACGCGGTTCTCGATGAATTCGAGGAGGTAGAAGCAGGTTTACCTAGTTATTGGAGAAAGAACATTGAAGATACCAAATGGATGATCAGATATGACAATGAAAGACTTAAAAACTATTGTTCTGACCTGGAAGAAAGGTATGCAGCATCCGAGCTACGCATCCAACATCAATCTGCAAATCACCGAAATGAACTGGCACAGAAAGAAGTCGAAATCTGGCAACTGAAAGCAAGACAGTTTGTACTAGAAGATGAGTTGTTGCAACTGAAGTCAGCTGCCCAACCACTGCATTCAGGAGCTGGTGGTGTACCGTCAACCACTGCCCTGTCTTCATTCGGTCATGACATCAGTCATGGTTCAGCTTTTCCCGGTGATGACATGGACTTCAGTGACATCATTTCAGCACAACAAGAAATCAACAGACTGTCAATTGAAGTTTCAAGACTCGAATTCGAAGTTGGCCGTTGGAGCGCTGTTGCTCAGGCACAGGCAACACATAATTCAGATCAAAGTGAAATCTGCCAACTACAAAATACTATTAAGCTACTTGAACAAAACCGAAATCAAGACCTTGATAATCACCAAGGTGAAATTGCAGTTTTGCAGAATGTACATCAACAGAAACTGGCAGAGATGAGTCGCCAGTATCGAGAGGAACTAAATGACTCTGAAGAAAGAATTAGAAAACTTGAAAATCAGTTACAGCAAGGTGACTCGGGAGTAACAGTAACTGATGAGTCTAAAATCTGTGACTTGCAAAAAACGATTCAGGTTCTACAAACTGAAAAACTAGAGTCTGCCAGGAAGATCGAAGAACTTGAGGATCAACTAAAAGACATAAATGAACAATTATCTTTGGCACAAAATGATACAGAGGTCTTGAAGAGAGAAAAAGAGCAGCTCAGTATGGAAAAGCACCAAATAATGGAACAGTGTGAAACCTTGAAGCTGGAATGGAGTCAATTGCAGCCTTCTGTGATGGAGCAGAAAGATGAGGAAATTGGGAATGTGCAGAAAACCAGTGAACAAATAAAAGCCCAGTTGCAGGAAGACACACACAACACTCCAGCAGACAATTCTGATAGTTTCCAAATAATAAAAGTTAAAAGTCTTCGTATAGAAAACGGAAGTGAAAAACACAACCTGTGTAACCATGAAACTGTAAAAGGAGGGAAAGGAATCCAACAACATGAACTTGAAATTCAACTTGTAAATGAAAAGAGTAGATTTTTAACCAACCAGATTGATCAGCTGTCTGAAGATGAAGTTGGTCAACTCACTCAAGCTATCCAGCAACAAGCTCTTCAGGCTAAAACTTATTCAGGAAAACTTGATATGATTCCACTCCAGCTCTTGGCTGCGTTATCACGTACCTCCCAGTCAGCAGAGGTCCAAGAGCTGAGACAGTCACTGCAAGAAAAGGAGGCTACCATTAGGATGCTCCAGGAAAATAACCACAGGTTGTCTGATGCAATTGCTGCTGCCACAGACAGAGAAAACAAAGAACATGAAGAAATGGATTCCGAAATTAAACAGCTCAAGGAAGAACAAGATGTGTTAAACACTTTACTGAAGGAAAAAGACCTCTTCATCCAAGCCAAAAGTGATCAGTTTCTTTCTTCCAATGAAAAGCTCACTGACAAAGTGAATGAAAATGAGTTGTTGAGGCAAGCAATAACCAACCTAAAAGAGAGAACATTAATTTTAGAAATGGTCATTTCTCAACTCAAAAGGGAAAATTAAAAAATGACAGAAACATCTCAAGAAAAGGAAATGGAGTATCAAGCATTACAAGAGACCAACTTGAAGTTCTCTGTGATCCTGCTAGAACAAGAGTATGAGTGCCAGTCCATGAAGGAGCAAGCTCTTGCCTTTGAGCAGCTGTTACTAGAGAAAGAAGATGGCAAGGCTGGGGACTTAAGTCAACTTTTAAAAGCACTTGAATCCATGCAGGAGAAGACCATCCTATTTCAGCAGGAGAGAAACCAAGTCACCTTGTCTCTAAAGCACCAACAGATGGCAAACCGGACCTTAGAGCAAGAGGTTCAACACTTACATGACAAAGAATTACACTTGAAGCAGGAGGTACAAAGCCTGAGGAGCCATCTTCTAGAATCAGAAGATTCTTACAGCCGGGAAATTGGGGCTGCAGAGAAGAGAGAGAGGAACCTAAGAGAGAAAGTCACACTATTGGAGGAAAAGCTGCTCTCCTCTTCTAATGCAAGTCATCAAGCCAGTGTGCAGGTAGAGTCCCTGCAGAAACAGGTGCGTTTACTCTCCCAAGAGAGGGATGAGAACGCCCTGCAGCTTTCGCTCTACCAGGAACAAGGAAAGCAGTATGCCATGTTACTCACTAACCTGCAAAAGGTTCTAGAGAGTTCCCAAGAAGAAGAAAAAGCTATGTATTCCGCTGAATTAGAAAAGGTAAGACAACGTACCACTGAATGGAAGGAAAAGGCAGAAAATCTAGAAAGAGAGGCATTGTTATTACAGGAACGCTTGGATGAAGCCAACCGTATGTTGGATTCAGCAACCAGACCTACACAACAGTTACATCAAAAGGAAGAACAGATTGAACAAAGTGAGCTCCCAGGAGAAATATTGGACGATGCCCAAAAGGAATGGATGAACTCGGAAAATGGCACAGAAGGAAAAGTGGACAAAGCCCTAATGAGAAACCTGTTCATCGGGCATTTCCAGACACCGAAAAATCAGCGTCCCAAAGTGTTAAGGTTAATGGGAAGCATCCTGGGCATTCAAAAGGAGGAAATGGAGCAGTTGTTGAGTGGATATGATGGTGGTGTTACTAAGTGGATGATGGGATGGCTTGCAGGAGGATCCCAATGTGTCCCCAACCCACATTTGACACCAAATGAGCAACCTGGGCTGAAGAGTTCTTTTTCAGAACTTTTTGTCCAATTTCTGGAAACAGAATCTCATTCATCCATTTCATCACCAAAACTTTCTGCTCGTGCCATGAAGTGTCTAGACTCCAGAGGAAGGAGAAGGGAACGTGCAAAAATACCAAGAAGTGTGACAGACACAGCAGAATTCAGAGCTGGTAAAAGAGAGGCTGTGAATCCATTCTTGGCACCGCGTTCTGTGGCTGTGCCACTGATTAGCCTAGATGGACTTGGACCTGGTGGACCTGGGAATCTCCTTTTGAATCCCATCGCAGACTTCATGCCCACCTTTACACCATTGCCAGTGTCGCCAGACAATAGCGCCAGGGTTGTACTAAAGGACCTTTGAAAGCAATTCAAAGTGATTCTCAAGCCAGAGATGAGTTAGCACTTTAAAGAAGAAATAAACATTTTGTTCTTTTTATAAAGTGGCCTTTTCAAAAAGAAGTGGTGTATTTGTAGGGACAAAGAAAAAAGTTGATCCATAGAAGTTCCAGGTCTTTTGTCTCCCCCTCCCCATTTTTAGTGTGTGTGTGTTTGCTGTGGCACAGTTTTAAAATAAATTTTTCTTTTTTTTTATTTTTTATTGTGGGTTGTTCAAAACATTACAAATTTCTTGACATATCATATTCCACACTTTGATTCAAGTGGGTTATGAACTCCCACCTTCACCCCATACACAGATTGCAGAATCACATCAGTTACACATCCATTGATTTACATATTGCCATACTAAATTTTTCTTTGTTTACCGCAGTCCTCGTTTTCATGTGATATTTTGCTCTGATGCTATCAGGTAATCAACAGCAATAATAACCATAGCTCCAACCCCCTTTTTTTTAAGGATTATATTTGTTACATTTAATTATATTAAGATAAAAATGATACATTTATATAGCAGACAGAATAGAAGAAAAATCCAACCCATATGAAACCCATATGAAAAAGATACATACCTCAGAATTTGGGCTAGATGAAAACAAAATATGAAGTACCAAAATATTGTAAATTCTTTAGTTCATAAAAGAAAACACTGTATAACTACTAAAAGAAAATTACAGTGGGAGGGCCTGAACATGAAGTTTAGTGGATAAATTCTAAGATTCTTTTAACCCAAATACTATGACACCTATCCATTTAACTTCATTCTATAAAAAGTCACTTGACGTTCATTTCGTTTTCTAGATGTTACATATGTCCAGAAGGAAGATGACATTTGTCAGTCAGACCCAAAGTATAATCACATGCATCCTTTTTAATTTGTAAGAATGTATCATTAAGTATCTGGACTGTTTACATACTTTGCTCTGGGCCCTTCAGTAATGCTTACAAACACATTTTTAAAAACATTTGATCAAGGAAAAAAGTGGGATAGAGAAATAAAACATTACAAAGTTTTGAAAGATGAAAAAGTTAACAAAGAAGTAGATAAGTCCTTTCTTATTTTGGTAAATTAAGGTAAAAGATAAATCAAAAGTTTCTAGCTTAAGTCAGGTGATATCAGAGAAGTGAGAAAGCAGATTATGTAGCAAATGCTTCTCTGACACCTGTAATTTCTAAAACCATTAAGAAAATTTTGATGAAAATTGATTGAAATAAAATTTAATATAAATGAAATTATTTAAAATAAATCATTATAATTTATTAAGAATTAGTTTCACTAATTTAATTTATTTTATTAATTTAATTATGAATTTAATTAATTTCATTAATTAATTTTATTTATGAATTAAAATAAATTTAATGATTTATGTTTAAAATTTTCTTGAATTTTTTAGACTGGTTTAAAAATTAATTTAAATAAATTTTAATAGAAATCAAATTATTTAATATTCATTATATAATTTAATATAAATTTTAATAAAATTAATTTGGTAAAATGTTCTCAATGGTTTTAGAAATGGCAGGTGTCGGAGAACTATTTGCTATATAATCTACTTTTTTCTCTTCTTTGATTTCACCTAACTTGAGCTGGAAACTTTTGATTCATCTTTTATCTTAATTTAAAAAAATAAAAAGCGAAGACAAAATACCTAAGTGGCTATATAGATCAGACAAGAAAGTGGGAAGACAGTGGAGTATATAAAACAAACACACATATATATCAAGAAAAATAAAAAATGTTAAAATAGCAGAAATTGGTGGGAGAAAAGAGAAAGAAAAAAATTAAAAATAAAAAAAGAATAAAAAGAATGTACAACACAACTCAAATATACTATTCAGACATCCCAGTCTTCAAAATCCTAATTCATGCAATGTACTTGGCTTGACACATGTTGGGGATGTGAGGGCAGGAGACAGGAGAGGGAGAAGGGAAAAAAAAAGGGAAAAAAATCTTGAATGAAGACACAGGGCTTGTTTTGCTTGGTGATTGGTATCTTTCCTGCTTCCCTTCTCATCTGATAGGTGGTGTCCTCTGTTGTCAGCTGGTATCTTCACCCTCAGGGTGGTGAGGGTAATTAGAGTGTCACTGTGCCAGGTTAGTGGCTGCTGTAGAGGGGGGGAGTTAGAAACTGGGTACGTGGAGGATGGTGATGAAGGTGGCCCAAGATGGAGGCTCCTGCTTTCAGAGTTGAGGTGTTGATTGGCTGGGGGGAGCCAGGTGATGATTTTGGATATGTGCGCTGACTTCAGAGGCTGTGTGAAATTCCTGGGTGCAGGCAGGCTACTGCACATAGGAGGCTGTGTCCACTGCTGCAGAATCCCAAGACAGAAGTGACCAGGGGAGCCCCACATAGATAGATGCGGATCCACACGGGGGTGGCGGTCTGAGTTCCTACTGGTGGGAAGCTGCCAGGTGTCCTCCATGGGAGCGGCATCAATGCTTTCTGCTTGAGTGTGTGGCTGAAAGTTCTTCACGGGTGCTGCTGCCACCTCTGATGGTCTCCCTGGGGTACCCAGTAGTCCTGTGTGAGCAAGTAGTTGGGAGACCTACTCTGATGCTGAGGCCTGGAGCCCTGGATGAGTGCAGGGGGGCAGGAAGATTGCTTGCAGAGAAGCAGTATTCTCACTACTTGCATCCCAGGTCAGGGAGCAACACAGAATGCTTCCTCTCTCTGGCCCGCCATCCTGGATCCAGAAATAGAAACATTTATATAGCAAGAAAAGGTGAAAACAGCCTAGTCCAAATATGTAAAGAGGTCTGGCTCCAACTAAAGCAAAATTTGATTGTCAATTTTGCTGTCATTACTGTATATTTCTAATGTATTTGGGAGACTGAAGTTTTGATTATATGTTGATGGTTAAAATTTGTTTTTCCAAAAAATTAACAGGTGACACTGTGTGAAACAGCATCACCTCTCTTCTTAACTAACTTATTTATATAGCCATTCTTCTGTACATTGTAAAGGAAGTTCCCATAGTAGTTCATATGAGAAATATTCACCTGCTTCCTGAGCTATGCCCAGTTGGCATCATAGATGCTCCTGTACTTAACCCCACCATACACAATTTAAAAATATCAATTTCAGGCAAGGAAATAGAGGATGCCATCAGTAGCCTACCAACCAAGAAAAGCCCAGGATTGGAGGGATGCCCAGCTGAGTTCTAAAATACATTTAAAGAAGAACTAACATCAATGCTTCTCAAACTATTTCATGAAATATAAAAAGAGGGAACACTTCCAAACACATTCTATGAGGCCAATATTACCCTGGCTCCAAAACCAGACAAAGACACAGCAAAGAAACAGAATTTCAGACCAATATCTCTAATAAACATAGATACAAAAATTTTCAATAAAATTCTGGCAAATTGAATACAAAAACATATCAAAAAGATAGTGCACCATGATCAAGCAAGGTTTATCCCAGGAATGCAAGATTGGTTCAACATACAGAAATCAATAAATCATATCAGTAGACTTAAAGATAAGAATAATAGGATCATCTCAATAGACACAGAAAAAGCATTCGAAAAAAATGCACCCCTTCATGTTCAAAATGCTAGAAAAACTAGGGATATCAGGAACATACCCCAACATTGTAAAGACTATCTATGCTAAGCCCCAGGCCAACATCATTCTAAATGGAGAAAAATTGAAAGCATTCCCTCTAATAACTGGAACAAGACAGGGATGTTCTCTTTCACTACTTTTATTTATTTAACATAGTCCTTGAAATTAGCCATAGCATTTAGAGAGATGAAAGAAATTAAAGGGATACAGATAGAAAAAAAAGAACTCAAATTATCACTATTTGCAGATGATATGATTTTTTACCTAGAAGACCCAAAACATTCCACCAGAAATCTTCTAGAACTAATAAATTCAGCAAAGTAGCTAGATATAAAATCAACACCATAAATAAAAGGCATTTATTTCTGTACATCAGTGACAAATCCTCAGAAAGAGAAACTAGGAAAAACCACCCCATTTACAATAGCCTCAAAAACAAAAAACAAAAAGCAAAAAACAAAACAAAACAAAAACTTGGGAATCAACTTGAAAGAGGTGAAAGACCTCTACAATGAAAACTACAGTATGCCAAAGAACAAAAGAAGAGACTACAATGGGAGGTCAAGTTAGGCGGCCCAGATACACCTACACCGGCTGCATGGAATCCAGGCTCACAGTAGGGCCAGCTCCACCCCTCCATTGGCAGGCACCCACTGGAGCCCAGCCTCTGTCACAGGACCACCTCTTCAGACCAGCAGACTACTGTGGAAGCCCAGGCCTGGCCCAGATCCACCCATGCCAACTTACACAGAACTCAGATCCAGAATAGGTCTGAGTTTGCCCCACCACACACCTAGGAACCTAAACCTAACCCACTTCCATCTTGGGACACTGCAGTCATCTCCATAGCCTTCCCCATGCAGTAGCCCCTAACTTTTTGACAACAGACAGGGCCTAGAGTCAGCTGCATCTCAGAGCAGGCATCCCAAACAGAGTGTGGGGCCCACCCTTTCAGCCCCATTTCTGTAAGACATTACTTCCATCTTGGGGCACCTCAATTATTATCTCAAGTTACCTCGGTTATTGCTGCCACCACTTTTAGATGCAGTAGCATACATTGAGGGACACCAGCAGGGTGTGGAAGCCCAACATCAAGATGAGGTGCAGACAATCTGCACGGGTACTATAAGATTATAGGGTAGAAACTGTAATATCCCAGATCCACGATGCAAGAAAGGAAGACACATAGACAACATAAAAAAACAAGAGAGGAAAGTGTCCCAAACAAATCAGGATACTACTATAACAGAACCTATGGACAGTGAAGTTGATGAAATGTCAGAGAAGGAGATCAGAGGGTTCATAATTAAAATGATCTATGAATTAAAGAATGAACTAAGAGAGCAAATACAGGCAAAATTTGTTTACTCCAACCAAGAGATAAGAGAGCAAATACAGGTAGCAAAAGATTACTTCAAGAAAGAGATAGAGAC